TATATATATATATATATATATATATATATATATATATATATATATATATATATATATATATATATTATATGTATAAGGATTAGGGAGGGGGTTTTTATAAGCTCCATCGGGGTTATCATGGAGGTATGGTTAGCCTTCGGCATTGTCCATTGCGTAGATAGAATGTATATCATTGTCAATGATGTAGATACGGAGACTTTTTTTGTTTTACGCTGTCCATTGCTAGCTTATATCCTCTTCATTGCTTTAATTTTACAAGATTTCGTCAGCCCGTTTGTTGGATATTGTAGAAATTTTGTTTGAATGTAACTTTAATTTCGGTAATCCGACAAAAAATTTGCATTATGATTTTCGGAGTTTTTCCTACAAAACGAGTATCCAATAGCCCTTTACTCGAAATGTGCATTACATTGGAAATAAAATCATTCAAAATTGCTGCAAGATTCGTACAGAATCGGGTAGAAGAAACACGGAAAACAAAAATTTCATTTCGACATGTCCCAAGTGAGCATAACCCTGTGAATGTTGCTACAAAAGACCTTCCTCTAGAAAAACTAAAGAAATATGAATTATGGTAGAAAGGACCGCAATGGTTAAAAGAACCCGAAACTAAATGGTCTCGACGGGAAGATCAGACCATGAAAGGATACGAAGACGAAACAGAAGAAGGAATCATTGCAAAAGTCACAGAGAATAGCTCATCGCGAGTAGGAGAAATCGTATTGTTGGACGAACATGAAACTGCTCAAGGTCTTTGGAAATTAGCAAAAATAAAGGAACTTAGAAAAGGATAAGATGGAGTCACAAGAGCTGTAATAGAAACTAATAGAAGCACTTAAAACACGTAACAGAAACACTTACTGGTAATAGAAACTGCGTATAGAAATCTCGTAAGGCCGATAAACATGTCATATCCCCTCGACGTCAACATAGAGTCTGATATAGAAAGAGAAGAAACCAAAAATAAGTTAGAGAACGCCGAAGAACCGAACCTATTGCACTGAGAAAAAGAAGCAAAAGTAAAACGAAAAAACCTCCTTTTGCAGGCGTTGCAGGCTTTCGTCTCCTCGAGTTAGGAATGTCGGATTACCGAAATTAAAGCTACGTTCAAACAAAATTTCCACAATATCCAACAGACGAGGTAACGAAATCTTATAAATTAAAGAAATGAAGAGAATATAAGTTGACAATGGACAGCATAACGCAAAGACAGTATCTACATCATGGACAATGATATCATTATACCTACACAATGGACAATGCCAAAGGCTAACCATACCTCCATGATAACCCCGATGGAGCTTACAGAAATTCGGCGACAAAAATTGGTGCCATGAGCCGGAAATGTTGAACACTATAATCAAAGATGCTCAACCGGCAAAGCGAAAGCTGGCGGATCTTCTCGACGAAGCAAAAGCAGTGAACTTAACGCCTCCTGATCAACATTTATCGGTGGATAAAAAGCAGCAACAATTTGAACTCAAAAGAAGGACTATAGAAGAAAAAATAAGGCGTCTAAAAGTCTATGTTGGTATACTTGGATCAATCAACGAAAAGTGGTTGAA